TCTAGTGTTTGAGAGATTAAGTGTATGAGTGTTTTGATAAATGTAAGATTAAATAGGTTGTACTGAATTTGAGTAAATCAACAGTAAGGGAGAGATGCCTTCTCCAAGGCTGTCACCTAGCTTGCGCCTACACTGCACCTACACTGCAACCTCTAAGGCGCCTCCTATCACGTCCAATAGTTTTACATGCATTCAGAGATGCCTTCTTCAAGACTATCACCTAGCCTACGCCTACACTGCAACCCATGTCACCTCTTATTCGCCAACAGGGATGGCGACACATTTCATTCTTGTACTCTTTTGCCAAGTTCAATGGCGCCTCCCTTCACGTCCAATCGTGTTACATGCATGTAGAGATGCCTTCTCCAAGGCTGTCACCTAGCCTGCACCTACACTGCAACCCATGCCACCTTTTATTCGCCAACAGGGATGGCGACACCTTTCATTTTTGTACTCTTTCGCCAAGTCTAATGGCGCCTCCCTTCACGTCCAATCGTGTTACATGCATGCAGAGATGCCTTCTCCAAGGCTGTCACCTAGCCTGCGTCTACACTGCACCTACACTGCAACCTCTAAGGCGCCTCCCATCACGTCCAATAGTGTTACATGCATTCAGAGATGCCTTCTCCAAGGTTGTCACCTAGCCCGCGCCTACACTACAACCCATGCCACCTCTTATTCACCAACAGGGATGGCGAAACCTTTCATTTTTGTACTCTTTCGCCAAGTCCAATGGTGCCTCCCTTCACGCCCAATCGTGTTACATCCATGCAGAGATGCCTTCTCTAAGGCTGTCACCTAGCCCGTTCCTACACTGCAACCCATGCCACCTCTTATTCGCCAACAGGGACAGCGACATCTTTCATTTTTGTACTCTTTCACCAAGTCCAATGGCGCCTCCCTTCACGTCCAATCGTGTTACATGCATGCAGAGATGCCTTCTCCAAGGCTGTCACCTAGCCTGCGCCTACACTTCACCTACACTGCAACCTCTAAGCGCCTCTCATCACGTCCAATAGTGTTACATGCATTCAGAGATGCCTTCTCCAAGGTTGTCACCTAGCATGCGCCTACACTGCAACCCATGCCACCTCTTATTCGCCAACAGGGATGGCGACACCTTTCATTTTTGTACTCTTTCGCCAAGTCCAATGGCGCCTCCCTTCACGTCCAATTGTGTTACATGAATGCAGAGATGCCTTCTCCAAGACTGTCACCTAGCCTGCGCCTACACTTCACCTACACTATAACCTCTGAGGCACCTCCCATCACGTCCAATAGTGCTACATGCATTCAGAGATGCCTTCTCCAAGGCTGTCACCTAGCCTGCGCCTACACTGCAACCCATGCCACCTCTTATTCGCGTACAGGGATGTCGACACCTTTCATTTTTGTACTCTTTCGTCAAGTCCAATGGCGCCTTCCTTCACGTCCAATCGTGTTAGATGCATGCAGAGATGCCTTCCCCAACGCTGCCACGTAGCCCGCACCTACACTGGAAGAGTGACACTTATCATGCATGCATGCACCCACCTACCACCTCACTTACTCTATGATAAAATTTTGCCTATAAATACAGAGCCTTACATACTTCTCTCGCATCCACAATCGTCTCACTCTCAGCTACAAACTCTTTCATAATCTCTTACAATTTCAAACTCTTTCATAATCTCAGGCATTTTCAACAATGGCTCTTCTTACAATGGGCGATTCTCACAGAGGTACAAGGGATAACATTGCAGCATTTGTAAGTTTCTTTTATACTTATACATTTTTCATACTTCTAGTAATGCTTTATTCATCTTACCTACTCTTACACCTTTTACATTATTAACTTAGGATACTAAAAGATTCAGAATCCGGTCACACAACTACCTTGCTCCCGACCCGTTGATCGTATCCTATCTCGATTACGCAGGTTTCAGAAACGCTATAAATATCTCCAACTGCACAATTTATTCAAAGTTCATACTTGCAATGTTGGAAAGGTGGAGACCAGAGACCCATACATTTCATCTATCAATAGGTGAATGTACTGTCATACTAGAGGACGTGTACATGTTATTGGGTCTCCCTGTCGACGGTAAGGCGGTTAACGGGTCGGTTCAACAACCTAATTCTCTGTGTGAAGAATTTTTGGGCAGGGATATGGTTGAAGGTGGTGGTGCGAGAGGTCAGAGTATACTACTTACTGAGCTAAAAAATCATTATGCGACTCTGGAATTGAACGAAAATTCCTCTGAGCTAGCTAAGATAATAAAAGCTAGAAATTATATAATGATACTATTTGGAACCTTTTTATTTCCCGAAAGTACGGGAAATAGTGTAAATTTTATCTATTTAAATTTATTTAGAGACTTCGATAAAACTAGAAAGTATAGTTGGGGTTCTGCTGTTTTAGCCCATTTTTACAGTTCCTTGTGTAAAAATACAATCAAGGAAAAATATACATTTTATGGCTGCACTTTTTTACTTCAAGCCTGGGATTGGTGGAGGATGGAGTCCCTAAACCCCATCAACAACAACACATTCGTTTTCCCATACGCAACAAAGTAAGTCATCAAGTTATATCATTTATTACTATTCATCTCTTCACCAAATATATGATAAAAATAAAATATTTTTCAATTCCTTTAGGTATTGCATGAGGGGTATGGATTACGGCAAGAATCCAAGATTCAATGTCACACTATACCGCAATATATTGGATCACCTTGACCCGAATGATGTACGTCGTACCTTTCAACTTTTCTACTTTTAAATTATTTTTTATTACGTTTTCATTAACCTCATTTAATTTTATCCGCAGTTTGTCTAGAGACCATATTTGGGTTTGGACCATGAACCAAACCCCCAGGATGCAACAATTTGGAGCGTAAAGACTGCAATCATACGGTTCAATGTTGTGGAGATGCACCACAGCGACCGTGTCAAGATGCAGTTTGGAATGTATCAAAAGATACCCAACGATCCGACTTGTTTGTCCCCGTGGCATCTCAAAAGGGTCGACGTCCAATGGGGTCTTACCAACTGGAAAGACTTTGCTCCAGAATGGTGTAAGATGTGGCAGAGGCGTCACCGATATGTCTTGCAATTCTTAGTTTTCCTCAACCATGGTAATATACGACACACGAATCAATATTTATCTTGGTACAGATCGGTTAGTACCCCTGAAATGCACGTGTCTCATCCAAGGTATTTGATTGACCCACAAACACAATGGGCACAACCCTCATTTCCCCAACAATAAACCCAACACACATCAACCTCCCACCAATCCCCCGACGAAACAGAACCACAAACAACCAACCACAGTCACCACCACAATACAATTACACCCACATGCCCCACAATCAACCACAATCACCACCTCAGTACCAATACCCCCATATGCCTCACACCCAACCACAATTTCAATCACAATACCAACACACCCGCATATCCCACACACAATTTCAGTCTTCTGTATATCCCAATATGGGCCCCTCAATATCCAACCTTAGCCCTGATCTGGGATTGTCCGAAGATTATGAACCAATTGACCCAACTTACCATCAACCACAATATCACCAAACCACCCAACATCCTCAATACCAAACACCCCAAGATCCATTTTCTTTCTACCCCCGTACTCAGACGACCAGTGCTACAGACCAACCATGGAATCCCACCCACCACCAACACGACCAAACTTTGAGGGTATTGGGTAACCGACTGTACCAAAGCGGATATTCTAGATATGGAGATCTGACTGATTTCATGGATCCCGAACGCATTGACTTCGCTGGGCCATCGACACTGCCACAACAGGAAACGCGATGAAACCCAACACGGGAAAGGTGAGGACGGGGATGCGGAACCCGGGGTCATTACCGGGTTTCGGGGGACCATTGATTAATCTGTATTTTTTTTTATGTAATCGTTATGTGTGTAATCATATTTTGTAAATAAAAAGTCAATTTTGTTGATCCTATATCGAATACGTAACACACCGTATTTAAAATAAAAAACGTGAAAATTTGTCTTCTAATTGCACTAAGACGCCATCTCAATTGACTTAGAACAAGCCTTTAACACCTAGACGCCAAGTGAGATGATGCCTCCCCTTAAAAATAAGGTGTAGGCGTCAAGTGGGATGCTTAGAAAATTTTCTGAAATATAGTTATTTACAAAAAAAATTAATACATGATTATTCCAAAAAAAATTCTCAAAAATAACATGACTGTTGATTCTTGTATAAATCCTATGGTGGGAGCATTGTCGGTAAAAAAAACATAAACCTATTTAAGTCTTTGAAAATAATGTGGAGCTCAATTTAGTTTTTAAATAATAGGTGTGCTTGAAGAGGATCCAAAATGGCTTGTAGAGTCTATAATGCCTTATTGATATGTTTATGAGTTGGAATGTTCCTTATAGTCGTGTGAAATAAAAATTCATTTTGATAATTTTTTAATGAAATAAATGATTAAGTTGCAACGCATTGTTATAATTATTAATCATCAATTTAAGATAAATAATCAAATATTTAAACATTGCTTTCCAATTTTAATGTCAAATGTTTGTGTAAATCTGAAACAGCCACTCATTACTTGCTTCTAACAGCATGGTCCTTGTTTTATACTGGCCGATAGAAACCATAAAATTGAAAACAGACACGTATCCCAATACTGTCGGTATTGATTGAAGGAGGTTATTGAAACCAAGTTTCAGACTTGTTTCTCTTTTCTAACCTCTAATTTTCTTCTCTCTGTTTGTTTCTCTGAAATTTCAATCCAACAACTTTGTGCATAATTTCAAAGTCACATTAATCATACTACTGGGTCCGTTGTTGACTTGAGAAAGTCTATCCCAAAACATCTCCTACCACTCACTCATTCCTTGTTAATAATCTTGTTTTCTCATAATACTTCTTTATTTCCCAGCCAAACACAAGCAAACTTTTTTCCAATCTTGTTTTCTCATAATACGTCTTCATTTCTCAACTAACACAAGCTTGAAAGATGGCTGAGGCTGTGCTTGAAATCGTGCTTCACAATTTGAACTCACTCATTCAAAAAGAGCTTGGCTTATTTCTTAGTTTCGGTAGTAAATTAGAAAGTCTTTCCAGCTTGCTAACTACAATCAAGGCTACTCTTGAAGATGCTGAGGAGAAACAATTCACTGACAGAGCTATCAAGGATTGGCTGCTCAAGCTCAAAGATACTGCTCACATCCTCGACAACATCTTGGACGAGTGTGCCACTCATGTGCTGGAGATGGAGTCTAAAGGACTGTCACACAAGGTACAAAGCTCTTTCTTATTCTCTTTTCATCCAAAGCATGTCGCTTTCCGTTACAAAATTGCTAAGAAAATGAAGAACATAAGAGAGAGGTTAGATGAAATCGCTGAAGAAAGGACCAAATTTCATTTGACTAAGATTGTTAGAGAGAAGAGAAGTGGAGTCCTTGACTGGCGCCAAACAACTTCAATCATTACTCAACCTCAAGTCTACGGAAGAGATGAAGATAAGGATAGAATTATAGACTTTTTGGTCGGTGATGCTTCTAGTGTTGAGGATTTATCTGTTTGTCCAATAGTTGGTCTTGGTGGACTTGGAAAAACAACACTTGCCCAACTTATCTTCAATCATGAGAAGATAGTCAGTCATTTTGAGCAGAGAATCTGGGTATGTGTCTCAGAAGATTTTAGTTTGAAGAGAATGACAAAAGCCATCATAGAATCAGCAACTGGCCATGCTTGTGCAGAATTAGATCTAGAGCCATTACAAAGAAAACTTCAAGATTTTCTAAAAGGAAAAAGGTACTTGCTAGTGCTGGATGATGTATGGGATGATGAACAAGAGAACTGGCAGAGGTTGAAATCTGTATTGGCATGTGGGGGAAAAGGCACATCAATTTTGGTCACCACTCGTCTTCTAAAGGTTGCAGCAATCATAGGAACAATACCCCCTCATGATTTATCAATTCTATCAGACACCGATTGTTGGGAATTGTTGAAGCAAAGAGCCTTTGGACCAAATGAGGAAGAGAGGGAAGAACTTGTGGTCATAGGAAAGGAGATAGTAAAGAAGTGTGGGGGAGTGCCTCTTGCGGCAATGGCATTAGGAAGTTTCTTGCGATTCAAAAGAGAGAAAATAGAGTGGCTCAATGTCAAGGAAAGCAAGCTATGGAATATACAAGGTGAAGATCATGTCATGTCAGCCTTAAGATTAAGCTACTTGAATTTGCCGGTAAAATTGAGACCTTGTTTTGCCTTGTGCGCACTGTTTCCCAAAGATGAAAAAATAAACAAGAAGTTTTTGATTGAACTTTGGATGGCTAATGGTTTCATTTCATCCAATGCAATGCTGGAAGCAGAAGATATCGGCAATGAGGTGTGGAATGAGTTATATTGGAGATCATTTTTTCAAGATATAGAGAAAGATGATGTTGGTGAAATTGAAAAATTTAAAATTCACGACCTTGTTCATGATCTTGCTCAATCTATTGCAGAAGAGGTTAGTTGTTGCATTACAGAACCCAGCCTATCTAAAAGAATCCACCACCTCGCAACTTATAGTTGGGAATCATCGAGGTTAGTCAGTTCAATACAATTACATGAGATCATATCATTGAAGACTCTTATAATTTGTCGATCCAATTGTTCACTACCTCGTGTACTAAAATGTTATTCTTTACGAGTACTTCATTTCCAAAATATGAAAGAGTTGCCATCTCAGATTTTTCATTTGAAACATCTAAGATACTTGAATCTTTCTTGGGGAAAATTCAAAACTCTTCCAGAATCCTTATGCAAGTTATGGAATTTGCAGATTTTAAAGTTAGATTATTGTTTAAGCCTCCAAAGATTGCCTTATAGGTTGGTAGAGTTGAAAGCTCTACAACATCTATCTTTAGAGGGCTGTTACTCACTATCTAGCTTGCCTCCGCATGTAAAGAAATTGGCTTCCCTAAAAACTTTAACCACGTATGTAGTTGGCAAGAAAAAAGGGTTTCTTTTGGCAGAACTAGGACAAATGAACCTTAAAGGAACCCTTTGCATTACACATTTGGAGAGAGTTATAAGCGTGGTGAATGCCAAAGAAGCTAATATGTTGAGAAAGCACCTGAATAATCTGGAATTGTCATGGGAGAGAAATGAAGATTCTCAATTACAAGAAAATGTTGAGGAGATTCTTGAAGTGCTTCAACCTCAAACCCAACAACTTCAAAGGATGACAGTGAGAGGATATACAGGGGCCTATTTCCCACGATGGATGTCTAGTTCCTCTCTAAATATTTTAACTAGTCTATATCTTGTGAATTGCCAAAGTTGTTTACACCTTCCACACTTAGGGAAACTTCCTTCTCTAAAGAAACTATCAGTATCTAAAATGAGTCACGTAAAATACCTATATGAAGAATCATCCAATGGTGGAGTTGCAGGAGGTTTCACAAAACTAGAATATTTGAGACTGGATGAGTTGCCGAACCTGGTAAGGTTATCAAGGGAGGATAGAGATAACATGTTTCTATGCCTTTCAACACTTACAATTATTGAATGTCCTACATTGTTGGAATTGCCTTGCCTTCCATCTCTCGGTTATTTGCTTGTACAAGGGAAATGCAGCCAACATGTACTAAGTTCAATTCGTAAACATCATACTCTTGAAGTCCTTTGTTTCAGAAATAATGAAGAGCTAAGTTTCTTTCCAGATGGGATGCTAAGAAACCTCACTTCTCTAAAAAAAATTGAGATTGTTGGCCTTTCTAAGTTTGAGCAACTCCCAACTGAAATCAATAATAATAATTCTATCCAAGAGATAAATATCGATGGTTGCAAGAACCTCAAGTCATTGCCAGATGAACTAATACCCGGGTTGCACTCTCTGAAGAGATTGAGCATTGCAAGATGTCAAAAGTTCAATCTCTCAGAAAGTTTTCAATATCTCACTTGTCTTGAGAAATTGATAATCCAAAGTTGCCCAGAAATAGAAGGCTTGCATGAGGCATTACAACATATGACTGCTCTTCAATTTTTGAAATTGGGTAATCTTCCAAACCTAACATCCCTACCAGACTGGTTAGGAAACCTAAGCTTGCTTCACGGTTTGGAGATTTGTAATTGTCCAAAGCTGACATGTCTTCCCACGAGTATTCAACGCCTTACTAGTCTGACAAGTTTGAATATTTGCAATTGCAGTGAGTTAGGGAAACGATGTAAAGAAAACACGGGCGAGGATTGGCATAAAATATCTCACATTCAATTCATTCATGTTCAAAACCCTAGAATACACTTCCGAGGAGGAGGATCACATGAATGTTGTTCGTATAGTTATCTTCAGTCCTAGCGAAAGTGAATAAGAGATTATTGTGTTGGGTGGGGCGTCACTTGGCAAACCATATTTATTTGTATTTTCTTTTAAAATGTAAATAAATTGTTGACATTTATAAATCAACAAACTTAAAAAAAAAAGATTTATAATAGTTTTTTTTAAACTATTTGTTAGTTTTTTAAATTTGAAAATAATTTTTTTTATTGAAATAGCAATATTAGATCGAGATTTAAAATATATATTTTTTAATATTCAATTAGAGTTGAGATATTCAATCACAACTTTTATAAAACTCAAATAAATATATTGATATTTATAACTGTTTTGAGTTAGACCAAAAAAAATTTCCGACTAAATTTCTTCAATAACTATATTTTCCTATAATTTATTTAAATAACTAGATTTCGATTTTGATATAAGAGGTGGCGCCATATGAGATGACACGTGAGTGAAAAAGTAAAAAATATGTGTTATATGAGATGGCGTATGAGTTTAATGTGATTTGGAGGAGCCATCTCATATGACACTTAAGTGTGTGTCTATTTTTTATTTATTTAAATAATAATAAAAAATTCATTAACAAAAAATTACTATTATTAACTTAATATAATCATTACATTCGGAGACTAAAAATTACATATAATTTAATGACTCAATCGTTAATAACAGCCACTGGATCCGCACCTTCGTGTTATCCTACGTCGTTGTCCCCCACCCCTATGAGGTTCATGTTGTGTTTGGGTCGTGTTGGTGGAGATATGGGTTGGATGATTGGTCGGTAGTACTAGTCAGTTGAATCAGAAGGATAAAAAGGTAATGTTTTTTGTAGTGTTTGGTAGCCATTTATTTGTTAGGTGCTACGGTGATATGATGTTTGCAGGTATGTTGAGTTGCTTAGGTCATATTCTTTATGTAAGTTCAACTCTAGGTTAAGGTGAGATATGGAGGGGCCCCACCCTGAGTTGTTGGTTGTATGGTATTTGTTATTGGTATTGTGTTTGTGTGTGTGACATGTATTGATATTGGGGTTGGGGTTGAGTGTTTGTGGATCAATAACGTCCTTATGTTGGTTGGGTGGTGGACCTGTGTTGGGTTTATTGTTGGTGGTGTATATGTGTTGGTAATGTTGTTGAGTTGGTTGTTGGATGTAGGAAGATTGATATTGTTGAGGGTTTGGTTGGTAATATTATTGAGCATTTGATGACGATTCAACTCGTGTGCGTGGGTTATCAAATATCTCGGGTGGGACACAAGCTACTGAGACGTAGTAATCGATCTTACCAACTCATATAATCTTGAGTTGGTTTCATTTCGTAGGGCGCGACGGTGAATTGTAGGACATATTGACGACGTCTATTCCTCATCCAACACTATTTGAGAGCTTATTATTTTCAATTGGCAAAATTCCATTGGGAGTCAACTCTAAGGAGATGCCATGGTTTCAAACACGTTGGGAGGCCTATGATTTCTTGATGCATGTCGAACTGCAGTTTGACACGGTTACTGTGGTGCATCTACACAATATTGAACTGTATAATCGTTTTTTTTAAGTCCAAACTTCTGCATCTTCGGGGCTGGGTTGATGGTCCAGACCCAAATATGGTCTCTAAATAAACTACAAAGGAAAAAAATATTATTAGAAGATGATTAATATTAAAAATAAATTGCTTAGAAGATAAATAGTTTAGTGATAATATATCTTCTGGTCCAACGTGAACCAAAAAATTAGGATACATCGTGACATTTCGTCTAGGATTTTTATTGTAATTCATCCCTCTTACACATAACCTAAACTAAAAAGAGAGAAAATAAATTATTTACAGTTATTTTTAGTATAAAGTGAGTAAATTGAAATAACGTTATAGATTTATTTTGTCGCATATGGGGAACATGTAGGTGTTGTTGATGGGGGATAGGGTTGGGATTCTCCACCAACCCCATGCTTGGAGCAAGAAAGCACATCCATAAAATGTACAAGTATCATTTTGGCGTTTTACAGAGTGAACTATATAGATGGGCTAAAATGATGGAATTCCAACTATACTTTTCTATTTTATCAATGTCTCTATTGATAATTATATATATGTATATATATATATATATATAAAGAGAAAATTCTATAGAATATTCCTTAGTGTATTCTATAATAGGATAAGATATCTACGTAATTAATAATAGGATTTGTATTTTCTCTTATATAATGCATCTTTCGATGTGCTATTGAGACACACAGTTTATTCAAATGTCTCTTAGTCTCTCGTATTTCAACATGGTATCCAGAGCCTAATAAGAGACAACTCTTCGTCGTGTTTTACCCGGTTGACCCACTGTCTCCCGGTGATAAATTTTTGACAAGTTGTGTCATAACTCCGGTTTATCTTTCATACACTGCCGTGACTCATTCCGTCACCAGTTTTCAAAATTTTTCGGTCACTGCCGTTGTTGTCTGTCAGCGTTGCTACTGTTTTTCATTGACCTTCCGACAATCTAATCCTACCGGCAAAAGCGCCTCCTCCGACCCCGACAATTTTTCCACTGCCTCAATCTCCTCCGTGCAACTGTTCGAGATTCAGTCTCAGATTTTATTTTCCACTCACAGAAAATTGTGATCCAGTTCAAACATAGTCTTGTTCACCCAGTTCGTATGATATTTTCTCTCTTCATATTCTCATGGCTACTCCTCGGAACTTCATGCCAAACTACAATGATTTTCTCGAGTTGTATCAGTATTATCAGAACTCAAATTCTACTGCTTTGGTTGCCCACACTGGTAGTTCATCTGCTTGCCTCTCTCAATTATCTTCTCTTGGACCTTGGGTCCTTAATTCTGGTGCGTCTGGTCATGTTACTGGTAATAAAAATATTTTCTCTTTCCTCTCTACTTCTGGTTTCTTACCTACTATAACTTCTTCCAATAGTTCTCAAACTCAATCTGAAGGAATTGGTACTGTCCAAATTCTACCTTCTCTCTCTGTTACTTCTGTTATCTATGTACCTAATTATCCATTTTATTTACTTTGAGTCAGTCGTTTAACGCGTTCTCTTGATTGTATTGTCACCTTCACTAATAGTAATGTCACCCTGCAGGATCAGAGTTCGGGACAGATGATTGGCTTCGGATGTGAGACTTAAGGCCTTTATTAACTCTCAGTGTCATCTCAGACATGCTCATCCAAAGATTCTCCACTCACTATCCACGCTCAATTAGGTCATCCTAGTCTTCCAAAAATACAGAAGTTAGTGTCAAGTTTATCGAAGGTATCTAATTTACATTATGAGTCGTGCTATTTAGGGAAACACACTCATAGTCAATTTTCCAATCGAGTCAATAAACAAGCTTTATCCCCTTTTGCTTTAGTTCACTATGATGTTTGGGATCCCTCACGTATTGTCTCTACTCTTGAGGTTAGGTATTTTGTCACCTGTTGATGATTTTTCATGTTGCATGTGGTTATTTTTAATGAAAAATAGATCTAAATTATTTTCTATTTTTGAAAAATTTTATAAAGAAATAAAAACCATGTTTGGTGTGTCTATTTGTACCTTAAGAAGTGATAATGCTCGTGAATAATTATCCTAACAATTTCAAACTTTTATGTCCAATAATGGTATTCTCCACCAAACATCTTACCCTCGTACACCTCAACAAAACGGAGTAGCCGAATGTAAAAACCGACATCTCGTAGAAACCACTCGGACCCTACTTCTCCATGGTAATGTTCCTCTCCGGTTTTGGGGGGATGTTATGCTCAGGACATGTTACCTCATAAATCGCATGCCCTCATTTGTCCTTAACAATAAAATCCCTCATTCAATCTTGTTTCCAAACTATCCTCTTCACCCAATTCCTCCTCGAGTCTTTGGATCTATGTGTTTTGTACACAATCTCTCCCCTGGTCTTGATAAACTATCAGCTCGATCACTAAAGTGTTTTTTTCTTGGTTATCATCAATCTCAAAAGGGTTATCATTGCTACTCACATACTCCACAATGATACCTCGTATCAGTCGATGTTACCTTCTTCCAGTCTGTTCCATATTTTGAGTCCAGCCAAGTAACTCCGGAACCCCTTTAGGAAAGTACTCCCACACCTCCTCCGGAAGTCCCATTTACCATTATCCCCCATCATTTTAGGGAACCTGGACCACTAGAAAATCCTACGATTGACCCTCCCCCCCACTTCTCGCCCACTTCAAACATATCAACATCGTCAAACCACATCTATCGTACCTATCCCTGAGGCAATACCTATTCCTGAGGTCATTGCAGATTTTCCTCAAACGCCTTCGCCATCATCAGATCCAATCTTGCAACCTGAGTTCGATCTTCTGATTTCCATTTGAAAAGGTATACGTCAGACACCCAATCTTTCTCCACGTTATATTGATTTATGTTATCACCGTCTTTCCCCTTTGCAGTATACTTGCTTGTCTTCTTTGTCTTCTGTTTCTATTCTTAACACTCCAGGTGAAGCATTATCTCACCATGAGTGGAGGCAATCAATGATAAATGAAATGTGTGCTCTTCAAATAAGTGATACCTGAGAACTGGTACCTCTACCTCATGGAAATATGTAGTAGGTTGTCGTTGGCTTTATACAGTGAAGGTTGGACCAGATTGTAAGATCGATCCGTATAAAGCTCACTTGGTAGCCAAAGGATACACTTACATTTTTGGGTTGGATTATAGTGATACCTTCTCGCCTGTATCCAAGATGGCATCTGTTAGACTTATTCTAGCCATTGCATCCATTCGACATTGCCCTCTTCATCAACTTGACATCAAAAGTGCCTTTTCACACGGTGATCTTGAAGAGGAAGTATATATGGAGCAATCACCTGGGTTTGTTTCTCAGGGGGAGTCCTCGAATATGGTTTGTAGGCTACAAATGTCTCTTTATGGTCTTAAGCAATCTCCGAGAGCTTGGTTTGGAAGATTCAACATTGTAGTACAATAGTTTAATATGGTCCGTAGTGAAGCTGACGATTCTGTGTTTTATCGTCACTCTGCCCAAG